AGTTTCCCTGTGGGTGCCCAGAGTGGCCACCAGGGCAAGCTGAGAAGGGCTAGCCTCCCACTAGTTTGAGTTAAGTGGCTACACAGCCCTTAATTCGAAATACTTAATTCGAACTAGGCGTTAGTCCTCGTAGAATGAGGTTTACCTAGTTCGAATTAAGCACTCCGCTAGTTCGAATTAAGTTCGAACTAGCGGTTTGCCTGTGTAGCGCCTATGAAAGTTAATTCGAATGAACGTCTGTTAGTTCGAATTAACTTTGTAGTGTAGACATACCCAGATAGACTAACTTCAGGAGCAAGCTTGCTTGACAGTCACTTCTTCCCCTACAAACTAATCTCCTCATTTATATCAGCAACTTTTTGTATACATGGTCTTCCTTATGAGGATTGCAAAGCATTGTCCATATACTTATGAAATATACTCTATTAATGAATTGTCTCAAAAATGTATCTACAAACTTTGGAAAATTTTGAAAAGAAACCAGTTTTCAAATGTGGCATGTTCACAACCTGTAGTGCTTTGGCAGTAACAAAGAACTACACTTTGACTCTGGTTAAGTCCCTTTTGCACCATTCCTGAAGATCCTTCTCTATGTCACTGGAATGGGTTCTCTAGGGAAGTGGTGGAATCTCCATCCCCAGAGGTTTTTCAGTCTCGGCTTGACAAAGCCCTGGCTGGGATGATTTAGCTGGGGTTGGCCCTGCTTTGAGCAGGAGGTTGGACTCGGTGACCTCCTGAGGGCTCTTGCAATCCTGTGATTTTATGTTTCTATGATTCTATAGGTGGTCAAGGCCATCAACATCATCCTACCTCGGAGAGTCATCAGCCTTGGCAACGTCGACCCCATTGTCACTGGCTTTGCCACTATGGGCTTCCCCAATTGTGTGGGGGGGCACTGATGGCACCTACGTCCCCATGCTGGCCCCTGACCATCATGCCTTTGACTATATCAATAGGAAGAGGTATTTTTCCATCATGCTGCAGGCCCTCATGGACCACAAGGACTGGTTCACAGCCATTTACATTAGGTCTTCAGGAACTCGAGCCTCTTACACAGGATGCACACCTGCACTTTTTTGCCCCGACTGCACCATCATACTATCTGCATCCTGGGCGACAAAGCCTATCCCTTCCTACCCTGGCTAATGGAGCCCTACACGGGAAGGGCTTGGACTCCACTAAAGAGAAGCTGTTCTCCACTAAAGAGACCTTCAATACCAAGCTCAGCAGATGCCATATGGTTGAGGAGTGTGCCTTCGGCAGCCTGAAAGGGAGGTTCCAGAGTCTCCTCACCCACATGGGCCTCAGTGATTGGAACATATCCTGGGTGGTGGGGCAGCTTGCTGTGTGCTCCACAACCTTTGTGAAAATGAGGGGGAGACATTCCTGCCAGGGTGGGGGGCAGAGGCAGAGCAGCTCACCAGGGCTTTTAAGCAGCTGGGCATGGCTGCCATTCGGAGAGCCCATTGGAGGGATGTGCTCATTCAGAAGCCTTGAGGGAGAGTTTCAGCCAAAGCCACCTGTGAGACTCTCCCCTGGGCCTCCTCACAAGGGGACTTTGCATTGCCCGTGTGCCTCCCCCGCTTCTCCTGCCCTCCCTTCCCATCTCCCCACCCCACAAAACAAATAATAAAGCCTTGTTTGTTTGGAAACACACCATAACTTTTATTTGGGGAATGTACAACAGGGGAGGGACTGGGGAATGAGCCCGGAATGGGGGTGGGAGGAGGAGGGAGAAGGTGGGGCTACGGGATGGGGCTGGGCCTGGCTCCTGCCTCAGGTACCTTATGAGGCTTTGGCTGCCTGGGAGGTCCCATCGCCTTGTGTTTGCAGGCCTCAGCGGCCTCTGGGGGAGGGTTAAGAGGAGATGTTGGGTGCAGGTGCAGGGGCAGGTGCTGGGAATTGTGGGGAGCAGGTACAGGGTGCGGGTGGCTGGTGGACCGCTCCATAGCTGTGACCATGCACTCCATGACAATTGTGATTGAGGAGCAGTTGGCCTCATGCTGGTGTGACATCTGTTCCCACATTTTGTGCCTCAGCTCCCATTCAGCCCAGCATTCCTAGTGCTCCTCCTTGAAGTTCCAGTTGAAGGAACGGAGGAAATCCAGGTGTTCTTGCACCAGGTCCTTGCGGGGTTGCCTTTGCCTGCGGTTATCATGAGGTCGGGAGGATGGTGTGGGGGATGGTAGACACACTATGCTCGAAGCTGACCCAGCTGTGAAGAAAAGTGACAGAGGCAGTCATCCCAGGAGACACTGTGTATGAAGCCTAGCCCTAATCTCAGAGCCGACACTGAAGGTCTTGGTTCAGACAATGGCAATGTGCTTTGAGCAAGGCCATCTGTTGCATAGACAGCAGGCACTTTCCAGCAGGGGCACAGATATCCCAGGGGAACCACGCTACCCTCCCACCCCGGGGACCAGCAGGCATGGGAATGTGCTGGCCAGGAGCCTGCAGGTGGGAGGGGGGATGGACTGGCTTGGTTTGCTTTTGTGTCCCTGGTCACACCAGGTCAGGCACTGGAGGCATCCCACAGAGAAAGAACTTCTATCCCTACCCACTGGAAGAGATGGGACAGGCTGTTGGGGGAGGTGTATGTGAGTGGCAGAGGCTTCTTGCCAGAGAGTGTGCTACAGGAGTCGCTTCCTCTTCCTCCCCCTGGCAGATTCCCATACAGGGGATCGGTGTTTGCTGCATCACTGTGCTTGACGGGGAGCAGATGCTGCCCGAGAGTGAAGGCATGAGCCTGTGCCGTGTGCGGCACTGCTGTATGGCTCCATGACCCCAGCCTCCTTAGTGGTGGCTTTTCATGGGAAGGTGTCCCCCCATGGAGACTGGAGTAAGGCAGGCCTCTCCAGGAACCTTGTGAGAAGGATTGAGGGGTTACTGTGTGAGAGCGTCATGAGGCTGACTGCTCTGTACTGGTGCTCCATGTGCACCCACATGCTCAGGCTGTTGTGCAATCTCCAGGCCAAGAAGGCTGAGAAAGGAATGCACAGCCCCTCACAGCGGGCCACCTGCCCCGCGTGTGTATAGGGAAAGTGATGGAACTCACCTGAACTGCCTTTTCTGGGTTCATTCGAGCCCTAGGAGACATCCTGGGAGGGGGGACCAGCTCCATGCAGAAGACGACCTCCTGGCTAGCATGCATGGTGTCCAGGCTGGCCTGCTCCTCCTCCTCCTCCTCCTTCTTGTCCTTTTCCTACATATCCTCACCCTGGTGGAGGCTGATGACGGGCATGTCCAGGCTGGAGTCGACCACAAGGGGAGGGGAAGCGACCTGCCCCCTTCCCAGGATGTCATCCAGCTGGGTGTGGAAGTGGCAGCTCTGGGGTACCGTTCCCCATAAGGAGCTACAGTTCTTTACTTTTCATCTGCACCTGGACCAGAATGCAGCTGTGCCCCTTAACAGCCAGGCTGCTAGCCATCCGGCCATACACGTCGGCATTTCGTCTCCTGGTGCGGAGATCCTGGAGGTTGGTCTCCTCGCCCCAGACCTCGATGAGATCCAGCATCTCTGCACCAGTCCAGGCCGGTGCCCTCTTTTGCTTCTAGCCAGGGGCTTCAGAGGTGGCTGCAGGTCACATCTCTTGATCCTTTCAGACCAGAAATTAGGGGTAAGTTTTTAATTAGTGAGTGTAATTAACCACTAGAACAGTTTACCAAGCATCCTGGTTGATTCACCATCACTGTAGATTTTTAAATCAAGATTGAATATTTTTCCTAAAAGATATGCTCTAGGAATTATTTTGGGGACATTCTGTTTGATTAGGTGATCACTGTGGTCCCTTCTGGTCTTGGAATCTCTGAATGCATTTCCCCATCTACCTTTATGGGACAATATGGTAACACAAATTTCAAATATGGTGTGAGATTTGCCTTTTCTCCAAGGTTTTGTGGTATCTTTTGTGGATACAAACCATTGTGTCGCAGTGTTCTACACAGTTGCAGTCACAGTAAATGATATACTATGCTATAAGTCTGTGGGTGTTTTGAATTCTCTATTTCCCACACTGCCTAGATTTACTTGTCACTAGTTTCCTGCCTGATAACTGAAGGAATGAGACTATATTAGGAGTGGCAGTCTAATCAGTGACCACTCTGGGCATTCATTGTCACAGCTGAAAATTCATGAATGAGCTGCAATGGGTCAGCAACTTGCTAACATATCAACTGAAGTAGGAGGTTCCAGTGCATTGGAGCTCTACTTACCATATGTCTGAGATGTTCCTGGAATGGCAGGATGATAGAAACAGTATCTAGAAATAGAAAAAAACACAAGGAAAGCCAGGCAGACGTCCTGCTTTTGCTCACTGCAAACTTATTGAAAGTTTAGTTGTCTTTTGAGACTGTAGTATCATTCACCATGTCACAAGGATGATAAGAACATAAGAACATAAGAACAGCAGTACATCTAGCCAAAGGTCTATCTAGCCCAGTATCCTGTCTGCTAACAGTGGCCAGCACCAGGCACCTCAGAGAGGGTGAACCGAAGACAATGATCAAGCGATTTGTCTCCTGCCATCCTTCGCCAGCCTCTGACAAACAGAGGCCAGGGGCACCAATTCTATCCCCTGGCTAGATTCCCCACAGCCTTTTATGGACCTAACCTCCAGGAAATTATCTAGCTTCTCTTTAAACTCTGTTATAGTCCTAGCCTTCACAGCCTCCTCTGGTAAGGAGTTCCACAGGTTGACTACACGCTGATGATGCAACAATGTGTCTTTCAGCAAAGCAATAACTATGATCACATGTTTTCATATTTCCATTCAAAGCATCCTCTAAGAGGCAGGCACAAGTATATATTATAAGCCTTAGCTACAACTACTTTTGCAGATTTACAAACAACAAATAAATACAGGGTAAGCACCACATTGATTAATAAAGACTACCAGAATTGCGACCAAAAAACAAAGACACAAATTCAGCAAAGCTTGTGCTGGAAATGTGTTCCAACTCTATTCATAATGAGACTTAAAGCATGCTCTGATGTGTTGCTGAATCAGACATAAAAACATGGAATATCAATTAGAAAATTTTAACCATCAACAGCATAATTATTTTGAATATTTGAACTTAAAATATCTTATGGCCAAAATACTGGTTTGATGATATTAGAATGAAAAAACTGTACATGGACAAGAAGATTTATTTTTATTTCTGTAATGCTATTACAGAAGATTTGGGAATTCCAATACTGGGCATCCAGACAGAGGATGCAGATGGAAGGTGAGGTTGGGGGCAGTTGGCTGCATTTTAAAAATGTGCTACCATAGGAAGCACTTGAATAGATCGGCTAAGCTGGTAAGTAATGTTAAAAATCAATCGTTCTTCTTACGATTCCATAAGGTGTGCATTGTTGTTTATGCATTCAATTGGAAATTTGAAGTGATGCAAAAAGAAATGTTTATTTCCTAAAAGACACTATTTTGCATAGGTGGATTGAAGGCGATGCTTTTTTTGGTTAACCAGCAAAATTCTTATCAGATCCATATTATTACAAAAAAAATCTACAGCTTCATGAGGTTACACATACAAGTCTTGCTGGGCTGAACCAGCAGAGGTGTATTGACTTTGTGTCACTGTAAATTAAATGGATCTACAGTCAAATGAAGTCTTAGCACATTGGACAGATATTTTCACTGGATTAAGACAGTAACAAAATACAGTATTGGGCTTCAAAGATTGCTAAAAAGAAACAAAGGATCCCATACAAACTCACTTAATGTACAGCCAAAATTGCAGGCTATATAGCTATGGTATTCCTAGAATAGTTTGCATAGAATCAATTAGATCTGATGTCATAATAAAAACAAAAATAATGTAAAGGTGGCAGTAATAATTATGAAAGTAAAATGAACCATTCTGTCTAGGTTAAAGAAAATTCTGTCTAAGATGATGGAAGGAAAGACCAGATTTGTATTTAGGTGCCTAAATATGTAAATAGACCCCCCATGGACTTTTTAAAGGTCCTAGATGCTTAACTTCCATTCCTTTCATCGGGGCTACATCTACACTATGAGTTTTCTCGGCAAAAATATGCTAGTGAGGGACTTATTTGCATGAGTTGCAATCTCATTTGCAGATTTTCTTCCTTTGCGCAAAAACAAGCAGTGTGGATGTTTTGTTTTTGCGCAAACCCCCCTTTTTCTGCAAGATCCTTATGCCCCAAAAAAGGAGGTATACTGATCTTGTGGAAAAAGGGGTTTTTGCTCAAAAAGAAAATGTCCATACTGCTTGTTTTTGCGCAAAAATGGATCAGAAGAAAATACACAAATGAGATTACTACTCATGAGTCCATCATTAGCATATATTTTTGCTGAGAAAAGTTGTAGTGTATCTGCTTTTTTAGTTACCTAAATACCTTTGAAATGTGGCCCTCGTAACTTCACAGTAAACAGAACAGTCATGCTCAAGACAACACAATTTATTGTGTGGTTAATTAGTTCTGCAGAAAAAGAAAGCCAAGCACAACTATCCAGGGAGATTATAGGAGAAGTAATGCCAAGTACTCTTGAGCTATTACTACTGGATGGTAATGAGCAGAACTGATTCTGATGTCATTTAAATAGCGATTACGTTGGTACAGATCAAGTGCTGCCACATCCAGTTTGCCCAACTGGAGGGTTAGGCCTCAACCCCAGAACATAGCACAAGGTAGAGTGAGGGGCAGAAGTCTAGGTACCATGTTGGGGACATGGAACCTATGAGAGGCGAGGTGAATGTTTGGAACTCTCTACATACCTCTTAGGGCAAAGGAGATGGTTTCAGCATGACAAAAACTCAGAATGCTGAAGTTGCAATCCCTTATCTGAGAACTTCAGGAGCAGGAAAAGTTTAGCTCAGTTTCTATAAGTGAAGAAAAATGTCAGGAGTTATGGTAATTCAGTATCACACCCAAACTGAATAATTAGATATGGGCAAAGCCCATTGATTCCAGAGGAAAGTAGAAAGGGACTAAGGAAAGCAAACAGCTTTGAGTCCCACACAAGTTCGACAACTCAGTGACTGACCAGTTTGCCCACTTGGATGGTAGAAACAATAAGGGAGGCAACCCACATACCTGCTTCCCTGGCAATGTGGGGTCCAGCAAATTGAACAGGTTCGAAAACTGTCTTTTTGGAGGAGAGGAATATCTGCAAATTCCTGTCCTCATCTCAGAGGGTTTACATTTTCACACTGCACAACCTTTCAATGGCAGTAGAGAATTTCCCATACAATATATCACCAAGCCACGTATCTCATCTCAGTCACTTCATTTAATGTGAAAAAACATGCAGTGACAGAATAGAGCCCTGAGATTAAGGCTCCTAGCACAATGCAGCCACAAGAATTTCACAAGTGAGATTTGCTTAACTGGTCACTAAGTGTTAGCATTGCTCTGAAGACATATGGCTGAAAGTGCTTCTCTGACCATAAAGAAACAGAACTGTGAGTGCAGAGAAACTGCTTGACAAGCAAACTCTCTTTTGTTTAATAAGGCTCTTCATACTTTTGACCCTTGAGAAATCTTAATTAAAGTTAATGGACAAATCTTCCAGAAAAAAAAATTAAGTACTTAAATGTTTCGGTTTTGCTCCGAGTATGCAAAAAAACCTTCTCTTCCCTCACTGGCCTTGCCCCAAGATAACATAACCTTCAAACAGAATTATACACATATTGACAGCTTTCAGGCTTGCTTTGTGTCCCAAACCTGATGGGTGATTGGCAGAGTTTCTGGGCCATATTCACCATTAGCATGAACAGGAGCAGCTTCAATGAAGTCGATACATCAGTGATGAGTATATTATAAGAATAATATAGCTAGAGTTGTGACCACTTGCACCAGAGATGGTCATAAGTTGTTACAAGTCACATTACAGGGCTCATTGTGCTAACCTCTGCCAGGACTTCAAGAAAATGATCATTACATTATTGTACAATGATACTCATGGAATGTCAGTATCTTAGATACAAGAAGTCCCCGACTTGCGATGTGACTGGTTCTGGGGGAAGAGTCACAAGTCAGAGGTGTCATTACTTGAACCCACATTTATGGTAGGCACCGTGTGCTGTCATAAATGCAGGCCGAGGATGTAAGTCGGGGGTTTCCGGCCCCTTCTACACTTACAAAAATGGTTTTAATGGGGGGGGGGGGGGTTGGAACTCAGGTGGTCGCAAGTCGGGGGTCTCCTGTACCTACGTGGCCCCCCATTATCATCACGTTGAATTACCTCACAAACTTTTAATGAATTATCCTTCCCACAGCTGAGCTAGATTCATTTTATAGACAGGGGACTGAGGCACAGAGAGACTAAGGCCCTGATCCAGCACTACAAGTCACGGGGAAGGGCCTAAATCGTTTGCAGAAAGTCATAGAGGAAGCCTATGGCAGAGCAAGAAACTGAACCTAGATCTCCATTTAGTCAACGGAACAATTAACCAAGGGTTGTGACGGGTTCTCCATCACTGACAATTTTTAAATCAAGATTTGAACATTTTTTCTAAAAATCTGCCGTAGGAATCAATTCACGGGAGTTCTGTGAGCTAGGTCATAGAGGAGGACAGGCCAGACAAGCACCAGGATCCCTTCTGGCCTTAGAATCCATAAACCCCATATTCCAGGCTAGCATCCTAATCACCAGATCGTTCTTCTCCTAGTGCAGATCTCATAAGGGGTGCCTTGCAGCTGCCACGTTTTAAAGAACATCTATAAATACTGAGGTCAAGATGCTGGAAGAGAAATTTGATTATACATTGCTACACTATTTGTCATTTCTAAAACAAAATTTGGGAAGCTCACATGAGAAACACAGAGCGACCTTGCAGAGTTAAGGAGAATAATTCTACATGGACAGCCATTAGAAAACACCAAACAAACTCTACTGGAGTTACTAAAAAGGGTAAAATTGCACCAAATCATAATCTTTGTGTGGCAAAGAGCACTGCATCTTGACTTCAAACCCGAGGGGAGAGGAGGTCAGAAATGTGAGACATCATCTACCCACTTCCCATTTGGGTGTTGAGAAGTGTAAAAACAGTGCCTGAGATGTTCTATTTTTGTTAGATAAACTTCAAAAACAACAGATAGTCTGGTAGCACTTTATAGACTAACAAAACATGCAGATTGTATCATGAGCTTTCGTGGGCACAGCCACCTTCTTCAGATGCCCACGAAAGCTCATGATATCATCTACATGTTTTGTTAGTCTATAAAGTGCTACCAGACTATCTGTTGTTTTTGAAGTTTATCCTGTACAGACTAACTCAGCTACTCCCTGAAACTTCTACTTTTGTTAGGCACCTCTTATTAGTGGGCTGCCACTCATATTATTTTGAAATTGACCTGTGGCACCACACTTTGAGTATGTTGCAATATTACATAAAACATTGCAAACTGCACTGTGCTCAGTATGGCACTCTAGAAAAGTTCTTAAAAGGGTGCACAATTCATAAGTGACTCCGTTTGGCAATATTCAGAAATGTCAGTTCAAGCATAGTCAAGTGTGTCAGCAGAAAAGGCAGTAAAATACCAAAAAGCAGATAGAAAGTGTTTAGTGCATAATTCTAGGGATCTATCTTAGCACTATTAGCACATCACAATAAACCACACAAATCAGTTCTCAGACTTATGAGCAAAGACAAAAATCTTAGGACCAACAGCTAACAAACTTCCTGAGGCAGAGATCTTTAACAACCAAGTAGATAGAAGGTTATCTCTGAAAAAGAGTTTGACTGAAAATTTCAAAGACACAACGGGCTGTCATACACCTGAAGGAAATTCATGAAATTCCAGTGAAATAACTCAGCAGTTGCAGTTTTTGAATGGTATGGGTCCTTTTCATACCCTCTGGGCTGATAGGATGTACTTGTTGATACCAGTGATGAATTAGGGTCTTAATTGACAGAGTGAAAAGGATACTATTGGGCTTTTGGGCTGTTTTATTAAAATAATAATAATAATGTATGCATATTAATATGTCTAATTTTAATAATCAGCCCAATTTTTTATCCAAAAAGCAGAAATCAGCATTGGATTTGAAGAGGAGCTAGCCCCTTGTAGCTCACCCTTTGTGTCCCCTTGTAGCTCACCCTTTGTGTCTTAAAGCAGCATACAGACTAGTCTAATCTACTCCTGAGAGTCCACGATGCCAGGAGACCATTCCATCAGCTGTGATAAGGAATACAGAGGTGTTGCTGCCACACCCGCTATGCAGAGGGCTGCAAGGACATGGTGGATAGAAGCTGCTGGGTAATGAACAATTATCCCATCTGGACAGATGTATTCTGTTCCCTGTGCACTGGTGGGGCATTGCAAAGGAGCCAAAGTGGAAAGGATTATGGGGCTGAGTGTGTGTCATGTGGAGTTCCGCCTAGTGGTTGACTGGCAGTTGCCAATTTCTGGCAAGAAAAAATTGACAAAAATGTTAACGTGACCTTTTTTGTACTCTCTGCTTCCCTTCTTGCCTCCCCCTCCACCTCTTCTGTCACAATACAGAAGTTTCTTATCTGCTTTCACCCTCCAACCCCTCTTCTTGCCCCATCTGGTCTCCCTCATCTCCCCCCGCCTCCAATCCAGTGGTAGATGGGGACCTTCTCTGGGATCAAGCTTAGGCAGTTTCAAAGTATCTTCCCCTACTGAAATCCTTTTTCCACTTGGGAACCTTGCTCCAGACTTTCTAGGTTCCTGTGGTTGGAGTCCTCCACTTCTGCAGACATTCAGTCTAAGTTTCCTGTAAAGGTCCAGTTTTTTTGTGGCAGTTCACTATGGCCAGATCCTGGGTCAGGCAAGGTCTTCACTGCTCAGCTTCTGGTGGGTCTGTTAAGTCCTTGTGCACTGTGCATGCATGTCAACTACTTCTCAGCTACTCTGCAGCAAGTGTCAGCTCCTTCCAGGAAACAGCCGCTTTCCTCCTTGTTGCTGCCTCTTCCTGTAATAAGCTCTATTTTTAAAGCTTGTCTCCTCCAGCCGGAGTAGGCTCTAATGTTCCTGTTTACTATTGGTTGAACCCAGAGGAGGAGCTTAGTCTTCTGACTGGGAGGGGCCTTATGTGGGATTTTTAGTCTTTTGTGGCATTCAACCAACATAAGAGAGCACAAACAGTGATCAATGAGAAGGGGCTTACCAGTAGCTTGTATCTGAGGGAATCTATGGTCCATTTACATGCCAATGCCTCTTTCCTCAGTAAGAATTAGTCTCTCTTCCTGGGGAAGGCTTTCTATTTTGATGCAGGATTGGGTGCTTCTCACCTACACAGTCCTGTGAAAGCAGGACACCAAGGTTAACATCCAAGGCATCCATCTAGAATACAAAAATCCTGGGAAAAGATGGTGACAAAGTATGTTAGAGCCTGTACTTGACTGATTATTGTCTTAAAGAGTCTGCCTCCCACTGGTATCCTAGACAGCTGCTAATTTACATATTTGAGGGGTTAGCTGTGAGACGGCTTCCGGTAGGAATCCTTATATTGCCCTCATATGTTGTAGGTGATCTTCCCAAAAGGGGATTACCGATAATGATATCAAGGCAGGCATAGTCATATCAATAGTGAGTGCTGAGAACTTTAGTATAGAATCATAGAATCCTAGGGTACATCTACACTACATGCCTCTGTCGGCAGAGGCATGTAGATTTGTTTGTTCAGCAAAGGTAAATGAAGCCGCGATTTAAATGATCGCGGCTTCATTTACATTTACATGGCTGCCGCGCTGAGCCGACAAACAGCTGATCAGCTGTTTGTCGGCTCAGCGCGGCAGCCATGTAAATGTAAATGAAGCCGCGATCATTTAAATCGCGGCTTCATTTACCTTTGCTGAACAAACAAATCTACATGCCTCTGCCGACAGAGGCATGTAGTGTAGAAGCTGTTTGTCGGCTCAGCGCAGCAGCCATGTAAATGTAAATGAAGCCGCGATCATTTAAATCGCGGCTTCATTTGCCTTTGCTGATCTGTCTAATCTACATGCCTCTGCCGACAGAGGCATGTAGTCTAGACACAGCCCTAGGGTTGGAAGAGACCTCAGGAGTCATCGAGTCCAGACCCCTGCCCAAAACAGGACCAATCCCAACTAAATCATCCCAGCCAGGGCTTTATCAAGCTGGGACTTAAAAACCTCTAGGGATGGAGATTCCACCATCTCCCTAGGGAACCCATTCTAGTGCTTCACCACCCTCCTAAGGAAATAGTTTTTCCTAATATCCAACCTAGACCTCTCCCACTGCAACTTGAGACCATTGCTCCTTGTTCTGCCATCTGTCACCATTGCGAACAGTCTCTCTCCATCCTCTTTGGAACCTCCCTTTGGGTAGTTGAAGGCTGCTATCAAATCCCACCCCTCAGTGTTCTCTTCTGTAGACTAAATAAGCCCCAATCACTCAGACCCTCCTCATTATTCATGAGCCCATTGAAAGATTGCCACTGCATCGTATGCCATAATTGAAATAATGATATCCAATAGGGGTTGAAGAGTGGTCTTCTGTTGCAAGGTGGGGGGATAAGGAAATCTGCAAATATCCTTTGGTGAGCTGTATGGTTCTAAGACATTTCACATATACTGCACAATCAGTGGCAAGACCAGGAATAAATTATTATTATTATTATTGTTACACAATAATTAAGAACAAGATCTTGACTCCTGTTACTTTGCTCTAGTCTCTAGATAATGCTACCTTCCTATGAGCACAGTAACTTAACAGTTTAATTAATAAAACATATTCATCATTACAAGTTGAACCTCTCTAGTCCAGCACCCTGAGGGTATGTCTGCACTACAGGATTTTTTCCAAAAAAATTTCAATTATGTCCACACTGCAGTTGCATTCATTTGAAAGAAAATTGAAAGAACAGAGGGTTTTTTCTGGCATTGGTAATCCGCCTTCTACAAGGAAGAAGCCTTTTTGCAAAAGAGCTCTTTCAGAAAAAGGCATGTGTGGATGGGGAAGAGGGAGTTCTTTTGAAAGAAGAGGAAAGAGGAAAAAGCACAGGTGTCCTGGTGGCCACTCTGTCCATAGTAATCAGTTTAAATGCGAGAGAGCGTCCATTCAGTGCAGACGCTCTCCTTCTGAAGAAGTTTTTTTGGGAGATCTCTTCCGGAAAAGCTTCTTCTGAAAGAAGCCTGCAGTCTAGATGTAGCCTCAGGATCTGACTGGTACCAAACCAGAGAATTTGCCAAACCATGGGAGGTCAATATTGTCTAGCAGCATTGCCAACACTTCCACTGCTTGCTGGGCTCTTAAAAGGCAGTTGGGGTAAATTAGAGCTAAATCACAGCATAGAATACTGAGAACCAGGACTGGTAGCTGTAAACAAACTTTATGGGACTGCAGGAAACTTGGCTACACCCATGATAAATTGTGCTGGATCATTTATGTTGCCAGACCAGAGAGTGCTGGATTTAAAAGGTTCAACCTGTATTTCAATATAAGAGGTTGAGGGTTAAATCAAAAGCTGAACAGCAGCAGAGATTTTAAGCAGTTTTATTTCTGTAAGACAACAGGCATTTCCAGCAATGCCTATAGCATGATACAGCCGGTATGACTGGAGAGAACATAGTGAACGTTTCTTTTTCTACAATTTCCATGATGTCTTGCAAAGTCGCCATGGTTAAAATGGTTGTGAAAGACATTGCTCATCAAGAATTAAGAAACAAACCTACCCTTTCCTCCTGAATCAATGCCATGCCTGCATCATTTGGCAGTTTTTGTTACAGTGCTTCAGATTCACGTTTCCCTCTGAGTTGTATAAGAATTTATCAGCTTCTTCCTTTATGATTTCCACTGTCACCAAAAATGTGTGTGTCTTGAATACCAACACTTTTTTTTTGCCCACCTTTATTATAGATGTCCCTACCAGACAGCATAGCAAGAATGTCCAGTTTTACAGTGACATTTCCATTTGGTAGCTTGGGTGCCCTTGTATGGCAAGTATATGTTAATTGAAGGATACATCCCATGCAGAGCTCTCACGATGTCAGTGTGTGCTATGCCCCTACATTCCTTTAAAATCACTAGGATTGGCTAATTTTCAATGAAAATTCCCCCAGACTTGCTTAGACAGTGCAAGGGAAGCAAGCACATTTTGTGCTTCAAGTCCTAGTCATTCCAGTTATTATAGGAGTGAGTAAAATCATAAATTAATGTGATGGGAGGTAAATAATTCAAGAAATTATTTAACTGTTTTGGTCTTAAAATGCAATATGAGGCTATTCTTGCATTTATAGAGAGTCCATTTGTGACCTTAGTTTAAAGGTAAACTGAAACATTAAGATCCCAGCTGTAATGTACAGTGGACCCCATTCTGAAATTATCACTTCCCTTTGAGAACTTGAATGCACAAAAAGTGCAAGTTTGGCCATTTGGCCTTTAGCCTATTATTGCTAGCACACATAATGGCTGCCACTTTTGCTGCTTAGGAAGCCGTGTAGCCTCTATTTCCTTTTTATGCATTCTTTTGGGTGCTACAGCATAAGATACGCTGAAAATTTAGATGTCAAGCTGATACATTACATTTTACCCTGGCCTGAAAAGTAGGCAATTACTGCAAAAGTGAGCAACAAACACCATTTGATCTGCAGCACTTTCCTCCCTCGGCACAAGAGATGTATTTTGCTTTCCTCCCACAAGATAATATAGTGACCATAGAGGACCTCAATCATCAGTGAAAAAATCAAATCTCTTCAATAACTACTATCATACAAATATTTGTTGATAAAGACATGAAGACTCGTGTGCTTAAACATCAAACTGCTCAACACGAGAGCAAGGAAACAGAGGGAGTGCAATAAGAAGTTGTTCCAGTCTTGCCATATTTTCTTCCCATGTACGAGAATTAGGTTTATTAGAAATCTCATGTGTTTTAAAAAGCCTCTAGGACTCTTTCAAAATACCTGGTCTCAGAATTATCAAAATCCTTCCCCCATGCATAATTCATCATAGGCATTTGGAATAACAAACAGGATCGTACATTATTTAGTGTCGTAACTGTTTGACCCATGCAGAAGGTCAACATCAACAGCTGTAAGGCTACGTCTAGACTGCATTGCTTTTTTGGTATACTGGAAGTATCCCAAAAAAGCAAGGAATGCGTCCTTTTTAAAAAAAAAAAATTGAAAGGATGGATGCACTCTTTCACCATCCCTGTAAACCTTGTTCTATGAGGAATAAGGGATGGCTCAAACGAACACTTTCTTTCGCAATTTGGTGCCGTGTAGATGCTCCAAACTTTGAAAGCACCTCTTTTGAAAGTAAATCGGAAAACGATACGCAATTTATGCACTGCAAATTGTGTTTCTTTTTCTGATTTAACAGCACGGTATAGATGTAGCCTAAGAGAAGATGGGTTCACATAAGTGTCTATAGGCAAAACAGACTAGAACTTTCAGAGTCAGTTTCTTATTTAGGCACGTTATTTCCTTTTCTCGCTTTTTCTTGCCCTGTTCACACATACAGATTTTACCCTAAAATACATACAACCTGTAAGGAAAGACTACTGACCTTGCCTAACTTAGGGTTTCATCCATCTCCCATTGAGATCAGTGATAATGTGTACAGGCAGTCCCCGGGTTACGTACAAGATAGGGACTGTAGGTTTGTTCTTAAGTTGAATCTGTATGTAAGTCAGAACTGGCGTCCAGATTCAGCCGCGGTTGAAACTGATCAGTTTCAGCAGCGGCTG